TGTTTTTTAAACAAATGATAACATGCATTTTATAAGTGACGACGTCTAGCATACAATTATAAATATACTAGCTGTCGCCCGCGACTCAATTAATTAGTAATTTTATAAAAAAAAAATAAACATAATTAGTAGTCTATGTTTTCTTCCAAACTATATTCTATGCATATGCCAAATTTCATAGAGATCCATTCAGTCGTTCTGGAGATATCGTCATACAAACATCCATCCATACAAACATTCGCATTTATAATATTAGTAAGATAATAAACACAGGAATATATTATATATCACCTATTTATATACTTCGATTACATTTAATACTTTGTGTAACAGAAGACCATCTCCAACTACTTTAATCATAAACATTTTACATAACTCCAGTTCCCGAGGTGATTGTTTTCTAATTTACATGAAATTGCCTTTGACATTGACGAGGGGAACTTTCTGCTATTGACAACTTTATTAACAACTTTAGATGGCTTTGTGAACCTTGATATATAAAAATATATTTTTTTATAATAAATAAAGAAAAAAACATTTTTCTAATCTAAATTTAAAAAATATACGCTATTATATAAACTTCAGAATGAAGATATTTGTGTCCACATTTTTATATTAAAATTTAACGTTTTTTTTTTATTTCATAAAAAAATATAAAAAGCCACCTGACGTCTATCATATCTTTACAAAATACGTCATATACATATGACAAAGATAAATAAACGTATCTCGTTTATTGTCAGTAAAATTATCAAGGTTTTCTATTGATTTATCTATGATACACTTCAGTTTTTATTTATAACTAGAATTTTCAACGTGTAAATAGTAAAAAAAAATTAGGACATTTTAATTTTAAAGCAAAAGATATTAATTGAAACCTTTAGATTTATAGAGATAATTGTACTACATCTTTTTTTTTAGACAAGGGGGCAAACGAGCAACGAATCGCCTAATATTATTTGATCCGACGCCCATGGACATCCGCAACGCCAGAGGAACCGCAGGTGCGTTGCCGGCTTGTAAGGAAGGTGTACGCTCTTTTCTTGAATGCCCCTAAGTCGTAACTGTTTGGAAATACCGCTGAGGACAGAGTATTTCACAACGCGGCTGTTGATAAAAAGTTACGCGAAAATCTCGTCGTTGATATAATATAATATTTATGTATTTAGTAGTATTATAATATTATTTTTAGTTAATTTATTGTTTGCCCTACATATCTTTCTTAAACATATCATCGCCTATTTAGTTGCTTGGCGCCATATTAAATGGTTAAAATTTACGACTTTCAAGTTAACGATATTGTTTTGGTTCTAACTTTCTAAACATCCAAACTTCGTTTAGTTTAAAAGTTTTATAATGTCGTAAAATAGTTTCAGCGTCAAATCGTAAAATTACACTTCTCCCTCATTAACACATCGTAAGGAAATTGAACGCCCGTAACGAGAACAAAGCGAACGTATCCTACGAGAACTTTCGTGTTATCCAATACTTGAATATGTATTATGATACACTAGTTGTCACCGGCGACTTCTTCCATTCGTAATTAAACAAGAACTTAATTAATAGTTTAAGTGTTCTTCAAGGCTATGTTCTATATGTATGCCAAATTTCAGCGAGATCCATGCAGCAGTTCAGGACATACCTAATAAGAAATATGTATTACATCCAGCCAAACATTCGCATTTATAATATTAGTAAGTTTATGTATTACTTATATACATATACTCAATCTTCGCACGAATTGGCCTGGCTCGCCCGGTGAAATACCACGACCACACAGAAGACAGGCGTGAAGTGGAAGCAATTCCGCGATTCGTCTGATGAGTGTGCGTCCCGGAGGCCTAATTTAGTCCTCTTTCTCTTCCCACCCTTTTTTCTATAAGGAAAGGATGGGAAGTGGAAGTGGACTTTCCGGATGAGAGGATGCATGTGAAGGGAAGATATTTTCTTTCTGTGCATCCTCTCCTCCGTCGATTAAAGGTAGGCAACGCATACGCAATTGCGTATGTCTATGGGCAACGGTCACTTCGCTATTTCAGCGATTTCAGGTGGCCGCTTGCTCGTCTGCCACCTTATGATATAAAAAAAATGAAGCAGTAAATGTCTTGTTAAGTCTATAAGACAATTGCTAACAATGTAAATTGTGCGCTTAATTTATTATAATTAATTATTGGTATAAGAAAATAATATAAGTGTGGTTATTACTTATTGTAGTAATATTGTTTATAATATACTGTTTACATTGGCAGGGATCGAATAGAGGAATGAAAATTCATGTTTCTTTTCATCCACACATGCCCTTTGTATGTCTGTGTCTTTCAATAGAGCTTAAGCTACAGGTGGTCAGACAATTGTATCAAATGTAGGGATACTATTCAAACAGAAAAGGATTACTTTTCTACAGAGATACACAATAGTTATGGTCAAAGAATTAAATTCGCTACCCACTTAGAATTGAATATCGTAGACTAAGCTCACTATAAGAGCTATAAATTTATCACGTAGCGTGACATGTTTTAGAAATAATTACGTTAGGAGCGTCAAATGATTACACTTTGTGGGTAGGAAATTAACGTCCTCGAGTGTAAATAGTAAGTTTCAATCTGCTTACGTAAAACGTCGTTTCTCAGTGGATTCAAGCTCGTCGCAACTGTAACCTGAACAAGGTGCGAGGGCGAAGGGAGGCAAGAGGCAGGATGTGGGCCACATGGCCCGCGCGAGGCGGCTGCGGCACGCCCGTCTCGCACGCTGAACACGTTTGATTTGTATGGATATACCTTTAGAAGTAACAAATTTTATGTTACGTTAAAAAAGTAAACTAATTTTAAACATCGTATCTACAGAAGAATCATAAATCACATGATCCTTAATATTGATATTACAACTTGTTTATTTTGCAACAATCTCCTAGTATTAGATAAAGACGTGTATGAGTATTGTAATCATTTTAATTAAATAAATATATATAAAAACAATAAATCTCATTCAAAACTTAAGTAGGCACGTTCTCTGACCTTGGCATTTTCATGACACTACATTTTAATTAATTGTATATTAGGAAGGTCCATATTTCGCATTTCACAAGCACAAGTAAAGTTAAAAATCGTCGGGGCCAGCACGTGTGCACGGTAATTTCAGCCAAATAAATATGACTCTGTGTTGCGTGCACCTCCACTTATTATTAAACAATCGTCGACTTGTTGATACTCTTATTAACAAAGAAAATCACGATATTAAGTCTAAACGCTACTTTAGCTTCGGACAACAATCTTAAGGCAGATACTCACATACTATAACATGATAACTGAATCCGATGACGTCACAGCACCGTTCACATACCTAAGTCATTAAAATATATCTATAGATTCTTCAAACTTTCGTGAAACATTATAATAAACTTATAAAAAAACGGCTAAACACTCACGTATATTCGTCCGGTTGCGGCACCTACTAGTTCTGAGCCCATCGGGGATCCTTCATCAGGGTGAGTGGAGTGATTATTTCGCGGACGTGGCCCGTCGCTCACTGACTCTCACTGACCAGTCCCACTCACCCTGATGTAGGGTCCCCGCTGGGTCCAAACCAGTCGGTGCAGCCACCGGACGATTATACGTGAGTGTTTAGCCGTTTTTATATTACTTTATTGATATATTCGTTTAGCGTACAATTCCAATACTTCGATATTTCTACCTATCGATTTTTTTAATTGACAAAAATTATCTTTAAGTTATTAAGTTCCCATCCCATTTCACATCTGGTCACCCACCCTATCGAATAGCAATATTTAAAAGCGATGTAATGAATTTTCATACGGTTTTCAACAGTAGCTGGGGTGATATATTAGGGTTTGTTGCACATCAATTAAGTCATTTAACTCCGATGATGTTTGAAGAAAACTGCTGGTTTATCAAGAGAAAAATATGCACTCTACTATTAGTATGAAATCGAGTAAATATAACTCTTACTCTAAGAAGAAATTTAAAGATATGTATGAAGTCAACCAACCCGCACTTGGCCAGCGTGGTTGACTATGGCCTAATCACCCTTAACTTAGGGTAGGCTCCGAGCCCCTCGGTGGGGACGTATAGTGAGCTGATGATGATGATGATGATGATAATGATAGTCTGGAAAAACACATAGACTACTGCTTATGATTTTTTTATTTCTGGTGTTGCGGGCGACATCTAATAGTTGAATATAAATAAAATTACATTTATTATTTCTAGAAATAAAACGCTAAACCTGTCAAGTTTATAAAAAAAACAAGCAAAGAAATAAACTAAACACGTACACATTGTTTTAATTATGCGCCTTTATAATTTAATGTGCGCAGCTGCACTCGTAATGTTACGTGGCTTGCAAATCTTTTTCAGTTTATTGCCAACCCTATAAGTGTTTTACAGCCAGTATTAGAAGTTCCTATAAACATTCCTAACTGAGTGCACACGCACTGTGTTCTATAATAAGCTTCTTGGAGTTACTAAACGTTATTATGGTAACTAGGTTTTGAGTAACTATGGTATAGTATAACTAAAAGAAATCAGTAACCGGATATAATTTTAAGTACATTTTATCAGGTATTTATCATCATCAGATCACTACACGCCCCCACCGAGGGGCTTGGAGCCTACCCTAAGTTATGGGTGATTAGGACATAGGCAACTACGCTAGCTAAGTGCGGGTTGGTTGACTTCACACATATCTTTGAATTTCTTCTCAGATACGTTGCAGGTTGCATCACGATGTTTTCCTTCACGGTAAAAACGTCGGATAAATGTACATATGTAAATCGGAAATCGTAAAACACATTGGTACCATGGATTCGAACCCAGGACCTGCAGATTGCAAGTCAAGTGCTTGACCCCTGAGCTACCGACGGTCGTCGTTCTGATTTTTAAATTTTAATGTATATTACTGTAAATAAATTAAACAACGATATGACTTACAACCTTTATTTCTTAAGTTAACAATCGAAACACATTTACACTAAACTTATTTGATAATGTACAACTCGGATAATTGTTAATATCTCTTTACAGGCTTATTGCAAGTGAAGGCAGAAAAATACAGTTTCAAATTTAATATTTCCCACGCATTAATAACCCATTAAGTATACTTCTTAAAACTATACGCATTATAAGTTAAAATACTTCAAGCAGTGAGTGAATACATGGGAAAAATACTGTGTTCTAAACTGTTTCGAATAGACGAGAAATCTCTCAGTGCTCACTAAAGCATCATATTGAAGATAAAGTAGGTGCATGGCGGATCTAAAAGTGTCCGCATGACATTCAAGCCGCCCACGGTCGCTTGTTTGCATAAACGCATAGGGCACTACCTGACCTTATGACCTCTGTATCAGTTAGCGTCGTGACCTGCCTGAACTTTCAAGCTTCATCAGCACGCAACTTCACACTTCCAACGAATTACCCTACTTTTATTCCTCTAAAATAAATTCTATAACCATCAAGATAATTTAATTTATAAATGATGGAGTCTCTTTCAGGTAAACTTAATTTTTTCGTCAAGATTGTGTTAGAAGTTCAAGAAAGATTGCTCGTCCAGAAGCCCATAATATTATAATTATATAATATTTAAAAATAAATACTTTTAATCCTTATACTAATATGTCTTATAATATATTTCGTAACAGAAATGTATTAAAGTTTATCATAAAAATGATTAATTGACTTATTTTAAGTAGCTTTGTATCTACTCCAATAAGTCTATGAAGTAATGTGTGACATATGGAACTTATTTAAAAGTGCAAAGATTGGGATTATTAGAAAAGTGAATCCGACAAGCCTGGATGCAGAATTGCTATCGTCTTCATTATCATCTTCTCCACTTCCTTCCTCGTCACCACTTCCTTCCTCTCCACTACCTTCATCACCACTTCCTTCCTCACCACTACCTTCCTCGCCGCTTTCGTTTTCAATGATAACATCAGAATCATCATCTTCAACCCTGTCATCAAGATCCCACCTACCTACAGCATCTATAAAATGCTTATCGTAAATCTGTTCCCAGAAAAACACAGTCTCGATATGAGGGTTTTGCAAGTCTACTTCCAAGCTTCCTCCTTGACTTTCATTAATTTCTTCATCGTCTAAGATTCTCAAATAGTTTGCATTCGAATTGGTAAATGGCTTCCATTCTACTTGTGAGAGTTCGGTTTCTGGTATCCTTAAAACAAAAAAGAAGTCTGATATTTAGCTTAATAATGTAAAAACAAATACAATAAAATTAATTACCAACCTATTTACTAAAGTACCTACACTTTTTACCGATTTGTTTTGTTAAAAAATATAAAAGATCATTTTTTCAGTGTAAAAACTATCTGGATTGTTGTGAAATATGCAATTAATCAAAATAGTGTTCCTTTTCCACTTGAATAGAAGTATATAAGGACTATTTAAGAAAAGTCTTAAAAAAGTGATTTAATCATAAAGTCCGCGAAATAATACCAGTACCACTCATCCTGATGAAGGGCCCCCGATAGGCTCGAAACTAGTCGGTGCCGCCACCGGACGTATATACGTGAGTGTTTAGCCGTTTTTATATAAGTTTATTATAATGTCTCACGAAAGTTTGAATAATTTAATTTAAACATTATAGCCGGTAATACTTACCCGGTTTTAGCAAAGTTTGTCCAACGTTCTACTAATATATCGCTTACAGCTAAATCCATTTTCGATGGTTGTGATTCTGAATCGTGATAAAATAAATAAGCTAATTCTTCACTGTGAGCAGCACTATTTACTTCTATAGGCCCCTCAAAGAGATCCCCCAGGCTACCCTTGTAAGAAAACTGATACAAATAAACAGGATTATTGGAAGAGGCCCGTAAACTAGCTTCTCTTATTGCTGATACTAAAATCATAGTATCTCCATGGTATGAGAGGAAACTCTTTATTTGTGTTTCATTAATAATATTATCACGAAAATAAAACGACCGTATATTTTGTATGGTTTGTAACCCGTCTTCATTGTCTTCCAGTTTCAAATCAGGTTGAACAAAATCATCAAATGATTCTTCCATTTTTTCTAACCAATCATCCTCAAATGCTTCTTCTGCTCGTATCGTTCCTTCATAATCAACAAAACCAGTCATAAATGGTATACGAGCATATGAACCTTCGGTTAAAATTGTGTATGGAGATTTTGTAAGAAATGGCTCTACATTTTCTATATCCTCTCTTTCAAGACATGGTGCAAATGCTAACGAATTATCAGTAAGATCAAGTTCATTGATAACGGCCATAAGAGCTGCTACGCTAGTTCTTTTAAAAGCATCTGTTAGATCATGAATACTATTGATAGTATGTCCGAGCGCTTCAGCGACCTCTACTGCGTATTTCAAATTGTCTCGTGTCACAGCCCATGGCGACAGCGCAGTCCCACTTTGAGATATTACTTTACTAATAAGACCATCAGCAAAAGGTGATAAAGATACTAAATCAACCGCAGCAGCTCCACTTCCATGTCCGAAAAGACTTATATTATCAGGATCTCCACCAAATGGAGCTATATTTTCTTTAACCCAACGCAAACCGGCAACTATATCTTTTAATCCTGCATTCCCAGGCGCTGCATCGTTTCCTAAGCATAGGAATCCCAAAATTGATTCGCGATAGTTCAATGATACGATAATTACATCACGTTCCATAAAATTTGTAAAAGACAATTCGTGTTCGTATATTTTATCAAATTCTTTTCCCTTTATCCACACCATGACGGGTAAACGATTAGTATTCAATGTCGGAGTGTAAATATCCGCCACTAAACAATCTTCCGTGCCCTCATAGCCAACACCTAAAGCTCTAACGCATTTTATACCTTTTCTGTTAGCTATAAACATACTCTGAAATGACGGTGGCGGTGAAGGTGCCTAAAAACAATATTAAATAATTAATGTTTAGAAAATGAACATACATATTATGATGTGAAAAGATTTAGGCGTCAACAGCACACTGGTATATTTAAAAGGAATTTGTTGGTCAATGTCCATAGAAGCAACTTGGGATTTTCAATTATATTGCATTTTAAAGTTACATATTTAATTAACTTACTATTATAGTCACATCTCGCCTTAAAAAAGAAGAAAAGAATTTAAGGAAAGCGCAAGAACAACATATTACAGATGTTGTTGTAATAAAATGCATAGTACCTTAAATCTATTCGGTCCAGATGTGGAATCAGCGTATGGTATTCCATGAAACTCATAATAGTTACCATCGGCAGCAACAGATCCCACAACAGTTCCTTGGGCGATAGAAACCATACGTAATTGTGGCGTTTGAGCCATCGCACCTAAAACGCACAAAGAAAATACACTTAACGCTAACGCCATGGTGCTCAAATGCGCAATTTAAGACTGATCATTGTAAGGATGCATGAAATACTTATGCTACAGTTAAGATAAGATACCAATAAAATATCTTAAGATATTATTTTATCTCTTGGTGTTATCTCATCTGAACCAACAAACATTGAAAGATTTATTTCTAAGTATTCAAAAATAATGACCTTGAAATATTAAAATTAAGATATTTAAAACTGTACACCAAACTACAACTTGTACATAAATTATCCAGTATATTATTTATGGAGTGTAAATAACCTGACCATAATTTTCTATGACCGAATCACACTATACTGGACGGTAGTAACAATCCATGTAAAAGCCACGCAATATTTACGCCGAAATTATTTTTACGAATATTAAATAATAATTTAATTAATGAAGTAACCTTCAAAAACAATGAAAGGATTACCTTCACTATTTTTGAAGGTTTAAACATAAATTAAATAAAAAATTGTCTTTAAAATCATCGTAATACCGTAACCGCATGGACAAAAAGTTCTATCTTCGAATTTAGGCCAATGACCTTAATAACGGAAAATGCCTCTAGATATATGAAACCGTTTTTGTTAAATACTTGATTTTAATTATCAGTATTGTGAACTTTAAGTTCATTATTATAACGTTGATGTTTTGACTCCAAGTTCAGTTTTTTCTCTGATTCCCTTAGAGGGGGTGAAGGGACCCCGAACGGGGGCGGAGGCACGGGGGGTCCCTGAAATGTGCGGCGCATCTGTCCCCGCACCATCGGAACATCTTCATGAGAATTTCTGATTCATCGCTTTTTGTCATCTTTATGTTTGCTGTTTTTAATCATTAAAAATATTATTACATTTCTTATGTTATGAATCATTCGTTACACTGCTAATATAGTTTGAAATCAAAACGAACGTTACCGAATTTATCGGCACTAATTTTTTGTAACAAATCACTTTATATGAAAAAACAAGACATGTTTAAGCTTCTATGTGCGTTTGTCTAAATGTGTACATGCTTTAACAAAATAAGAGATAATCCAATAAGAAATTGTCATAAAAGTATTTTGTTTATAGAATTGATAAATTGAATAGCTGCACGATTTACATTTTTCATACACAAATTCTTGAGAATTAGACGAAAACATGTGCAGACAGATTAAAAAATATATTTGTTGTTACAAAAATTCCTTAAAAAAAAATCCTAACGCAAAGAGAGATAAAGCAAAAAGCTTAGACGATAAACAAGATATGCTCAATGAAATGGGGGCGATTTATCCAGCATAGTATGCGTTCTAATAACCTAATATTTTAATGTTACAATTTCGCGCAAACTTTTGAAAAGCTAAGAACAACTTAAGTTGGTTATCTTCCATCTCCCGGATTGTATCGGGATGCGATGGTCTGAAACATGTGTCGCACCACGTGGGTCCGTAGCAAAAAACTTAAGGAGAGAGGCATTCAATGTCACAAATACTAATACAGTGAAAAATGAACCCTATAATATTTGACAAGAGTTAAAAATTGCTTAAATTGAAAGTGTACATGTGATGTTTTAATTGAAAAGTTATCACCTTGTGGGAGACTCCAATGGGACAGGCGAAAGGTTGAGCATTATGCGTAACATATTGTAAACTCGTGCGTAGACAATGAGAATATGATGTTTGTGATGAAATTGTACAGTTATTCATGTTTATCCAGATTGATCGCGAGTTCCAATATCTAAATACTCGTACAAAAATTTGTCAGCCTTATCATATGACTTGAAAAAACTGAGATGACAATATTTTTAGAGATGTCTTAACAATGGAAAGGAACAATGTCAAAGAAAAATGTAACCTCTTGCTTGAACAATTCACTGATTTTAACTTTTGAAGAGTCATTCCATTCTTGTTTTGCCCGGATTATTATAGAAGTTGACAGTCGCCTTCTTTGTTTTATTTACTAGTCTTAGGACGTACAAGTACAAAGAAAGCTAAGATGATTGTTTTGTTAGTAAACAGTTGTAGAAATGTATAATAGTTATTAAAGTTTAGGTAAATAGTGTGGGTTGGGGAGAAATACAACAACAGCGTACGTGTTCGATAGCCGGCGCCCGAGGGCAGTTCTAACTAATTACAGTACACTTTGTTGGAGCTGTGATGTTGAAGCAATTAAAAATGTACTAAGCGCGAATATATTAAGAAGTAGAGAAAAACAAAAGTTTATCTAGACTGCATTTCTGAACAGTTATATATAAAGAATATTTCTTTTATTTGAAAAATTCTTGCCTCTAACTGACTGAGAGGAACTGACTTCGTGCTTTACAATAACGATTTACCAATCTTACTAATATTATAAAAGCGAATGTTTAGATGGATGGATGTTTGATTGAAGGTTCCTCCGACACGGCTCAACAGGTTTTGATAAAATTTGGCACACATATAGAACATAGTCTGGAACAACGCATAGGCTACTTATTTTTTTGATTCTGCGCGGACGGAATCCCTGGCGACAGCTAGTATTTAAGATGTAAATATTTAATAATGACTTAATATTTTTTTACGTATGTAGCTTTTATAGTTCAATCAAAAAGATGTTGTTCGCCTACTCTATCTTATAATAGACGTAATCTTAATCTTGAGTGCCTAGTGCCAAGATTCGCCTTGAACTCTCTACTTCAAATATTAACATCTTTTTAACACTTCCGCAGATCAAATGACAGAAGATAAAACATCAATGTTCTTTATAAAAACTTGTCTAGCAATTAATCGTTTTAAAGAAGAATGAAAGAACATTGTATTGCATTTTTATTATATTTTTTGGGTATCCTAGAGACATATTTCTTAATATTAGAAAACTCTAAAAGTAACTTAGAGAAAGAGCCTAATCAGAGTAGATTATAGTAGTAATTAGCGAAGCGTAAACTTTTTAAGTGGTCTCCTTATTAATTAAAGTTTGTAACAGAAGGGGGCAAACGAGCAGCGGGAACACCGAGGTTCAACGACGCCCATGGACATCAGCAATACCAGAGGAACCGCAGATGCGTTGCCGGCCTTTGAGGTGGTGATAAGCTCGCTTCTTGAAGGACCCTAAGTCATAGCGGATAAAATAATCTCATCTTTTTTTTTAGAATAAATAGGTTATATATTTCGCCTAGAATGTGAATCTAGAAATTAGTAGAACACAGATTTTCTAATCAATAGACTTGGAAGTTTATCAATTATTATAAGAGGTAGAGATTACTCTATCTAGGTCTTGAACCTACTAAGCAAGATTTCGAGCTATTTAATAACTAACTATTGATGGCTCCTAATTAGATTACCGTATTAGAAAATTCCATAAAATTTGTTGTATACGATTATTAATGTTGGAGCCATCATATTATTTACCATCTTGTTTCTATTACTTTAAAAACTCGAAAGTCTTTAGAGTTTTCCCGGCTCTGGTCGCTGGGCGAGGTGGCACGGGCGAGCGGCTGCCGGCAGTACGTGTTCTATTTTCGTCCTCCCCTCAGCGTCGGCGCGTGCGCACCGCGGGGAGATTTGCTCAAGAGTTTAATGCACTGAAATATCAACGCTTGTCAATCTTTATATACAACTCGTTGTTCTTTTGAAGCACTTTAATACATTTTTAAGATTTACGTACGTTGAAACTGAACAAAACATAAAATTTTAGACTCTTTTCAGATTTTGTTGGTGTGAATGTTTTTCTAGTTTTAGGTATGTTAAGGATTATTAAATGTTTTCAATTTCCTAAATATTTATGAGCCAGTTGATTAATATTGCATCTCCATGCGTTAATTGCATTTTGTGTTAAAAAATTCAAATTGTTTGTCTTCCGATTTGGTTATATTTCTTTGGGACGGGCTTAATAAAGTCGAAGCGTTCAGATAGACAAGATGATAAAATACATTTATCGAAATCGGCACCGCCTCACGCGAAGCACAATTTATTGCATTTACATACTTTCACATTTTTAAAGTCGTGCCAATTAACCTAACCTATACGCTCTCCTTAATTATTGTTATCTGTAACTGGTTTGCTTTAAAATGCATTTAAGTTCTTAGTGAATCAAGTGGCTAATCCTTTAAATTCAGAGATTTACGACTATGAATGACTAAGGTTCTTAAATTAATATACCAAACATAAATATATGGACGTTTTAAACGAGTACTTTAAAAGTGCCAAGGTCCTTAAAAAGGTGTAAAGACATTGAATTATGTTATTCTTTACTTATTTAATTACGCATTAAACGTATGTGAGTGGTAAAAAGTTGTTGCATCTTGACAGATTTATTACGGGAACCGTATCAAAGTGTTCATGAATGTAAATTGTCAGGCGTTATTGCCTGACTAAATAGTAGGGGTGGTTAACATAATAAGATCAGGAAGAAGGAATGACTTTTTCATTTTGTTTCATAAAGACAAAATAACTGAATATTTCAATTGAAAAGTGATTTATTATATTGAAGCCGTGACCGTGGAGTATTTCTATAATGAGTTGATTTTTTTATTTTATTTTTATTTATTTTTTATTTTGATTTTAGTAATCAAGAAATCTCTCCATTAAGAGATAAACATAATTACTATTGCTGATAGAACTTAAAAACGGTCGCTTTTAATTGAGCTTTTAAAGTTTAAATTAAATTAAATCTTATAAGTGAGGTATTGAGGATCGATAAATTCACCAATTGGTAGGTAACAAATAGCTTTGAAAATAATTTATTAGCTGTTAATTAATTATGTATGTTACAGGAATACAAGAAATTTTATTCTAATTTTTAAATTTTTTGCGCGGAATTATAATAGAAAAAATATTAGCCGAAATGTTCTTCCGGACAATGTTCTACATCGATGCCAAATTTCAGCGAGAGCCATGCACCCATTCTATAATAGATACACAATCTAACAAACATTCAGCCATCCTACTAATATTATAAATGCAAAAGTTTGGATGGATGGATGGATGTTTGTTTGAAGGTATCTCCTGAACGGCTGCACAGATCTCGCTGAAAATTTTCATAGATATAGAACATAGTCTGGAATAACAAATAGGTCACTAATTAAGTTTTTTTTTAATTTTCGCGGGGTCGGAGTTAGTCTATCCATACATCCAAACATTCGCATTTATAATATAAGTAAGATTCAAGTTTTAATGGATGTTATTGTTATAGTTGTCCACATTACCAACATATGGCGTTCTCCCACCAACACAGAAAATACTATATCATTAGGGCTGTTGTCTTGTAATTGTGTGCTTTGGCCGATAATTGCTAACTCTTGTATAGCGATTATTGATAAAGAATAGAAAATAAACTTAACATTATATCCAGTAGTGGTATATATCCTTCGTTTTGAATGAGTGCCTTAATTAAATAGAGGTCAAACAAACACGTCAAATTCCATACATGGCGGCCATTACGATATGTCACATTTTTTACCGTTGATTTCTGAATTTGAAATCTCTACATAAAACATATAGTATCCCTATCATTATCTTTTACAAAACAGACATAACAATATGTTTTAAGTTTGGAGATTTTGGCGTCAGAAACCCACGGTTTTTGTAGAATCCGGTATAAGTAACAAATAATTAATATACTGGAATAATAATATCTGGCATATGTACCTTTATTTATGTATATTAAGAAAAGAATAAAGGTAATGACTTTGGAAATACACTTAAGTATCAGCTTATTAAATACTTAATTTTAAATAAAATAAAATATTTAATTACAGTTTAACCTTCATAAGCGAGAAGTGAGAGAGAAACCTCTATAAGTAAGGATCATTGTTCATTCCTAACGGACGGAGTGAAACTTTTATAAGAGAGAGAAATGTCACAGTCTCTTGGATTTTCGGTTATCCAGGTTTGACTGTGGTTGTGTAATTTTTCTTATAACAAATAAAAATGAAAACGATTAAGAAAGATCGCTACGAACATCAAAAATCCGTGTTTTTCAATCGTATAAAGTTATGTAAAGCCTGCTACACACCTTCAGATAAAACTGAACGTGTGTAACGGTCTTTAGCTAAGATTAAATACCTTATTTTTTACATCTCAAAGTTCTTGGAAATCGAGTGTAATCACAATGTTAATGTACAAATAGAAACGGTATTTCCTTTTTAATCACTTCTTACCTTTTACCTAAATCTTCGATACAATTTCCTGCGTTAGTAGCTAATATTTCAAATGTTATATTTATCAAATATATACTCTATTCCAATCGTATACGATTCCTGTTCTATTAAATTAATATTCCCCCTGAAACTTCAGATTTGAGAAATTATTTTATTGAAATTTCAACTTTAATGGTTTGTGTTAAGGCGAGTTTTTGTGTGTTGGTTTGTCGGTTGTTATGAAATCCTTGTCGGGTGTTTAATGGTCGCTGAGGCTTGGGTACAGCTGTCATGTCCCTCGGGTGTCGCTAAGGGTTTTGTTTACAGCTCGCTCTAATGACGATGCTCTTACTCTTGACGGTATTAAGTATTTTTTTCTATATTGGCTATACGCTGGAATTAAATTTATCAGTACTTAAGTTTTGTTTTATTTAAAACTAATATATTTGATTAAGCAGGCCAGTATGTTAGATGGATGGATGGGTGGATGTTTGACGGATGCATAAATGTCCCTGATATTTAAAATATATGTAGAATAAATTCTGGAAGAACATAAAGACTACTAATAAAGTTTTTTAATTACGTGCGGATTGAGTCGCGGGCAAAACCTATCTAAAATATTTGGTAAGTCATTAATGTAATTTCACTTCTCTAATTAGTCTAAATTAAGCGAATATGCGACTACAGATAGAGAAAAAAGCCATGGAATGTGGCTACGTAAAACTACTTTAGGTGGATATTTCTCCGGTTTATGAAAAAGGGAGGGATTCCTCTTTAAAAAATAATTGAAGAATCAATAAATATTTAAATAAATATAAAGTTAAAAATCATTTTAAAATAAACCCTGAATTCTTTAACTTCTTATCTCGTAACTAACGTTGTTCAGTTTAAATCAATAAGTGCGTAAATATATGGTGTGTCATTATTTTCCACTGTCGCAATATATTTGTTCAATTCAGAGGTATATTCACCCAGTCTGGCAAATACCCAAATTGAAGTGAAAAGTGTCAATTAATTAAAAAGGCATGTGTGATAATAAACTCAAATATCAGCCATATAAGCATCATGTGAATTTTGTGTTGTTGAGGGAAAATGATCACACAGCAACAATGTACATTTTATAAAATCCGCCGAGACTAGCCGCCCGAGGAAGCATACGCCCTAGCTCAAGAAAGCTCTGTAGGGCGGGCGACTTCCTCACCGGCAGCGCCCCTAGCGGTAGCCGTCAGCAACAACAACCCAGCGGCCATTGGCCGGTCGTCGTGACGTCATCGCGGGTCTAGCCAATAGGGGGGGCTAATGGCGGACGATCGCGCCCGGCCGCAGTCGCACTCGCCGCGCCTTCGTATGAGCTGTGTGCCGCTCTCGGCTCCCCGCACCCCGCGCCCCGCGCTCGTCTCGCCCGCATTCTAGTCGTGGGTGTCGCGCCGTGCAGTCCTCGCGTGTGCCGCCGAGCTCAGTGCGCCGTTTGTGAGTGCTTTAATTCCCGCCGAGTGTCAGTGCGACCGAGGAACTGTCAGCCCATCGCGGAGGATGTTAACAGCGCACGGTGAGTGCAATCGACGTGTCGTCGTACGCTTATCACGCGCCACGTGAACTCGCTCTATTTATAAAATGTAAACACGCCTGCTAATTCGATTCGAAATCGTCGTATCGGTACTTAGAGAAACGCGTCCGGCCCCGTCCCGTCCGCTCGTTAGCAATAGAGTCAGCGACGTCGAGATTGCCGAGTTCCTGTAAGATCGCAGCTGCCGTCAGCCGCCGCGCCGGTGCCGTGTTGATGTTGATAGGATCGGAATGTGTAGTGGTAGTAATTGCGGAGGCGAGCAGCGAGCAGTCATTCGCGAGCGACAGGCGCTGGCGAGAGCAGTGGGCACGATAACGTGACCTTGAGGCGCGGGTTCGCATGCCGGCCGGCGCTACACCGCCGCACCGCACGAGCTCTCGCGAAACGTTCCAGACAAACAAACTTAGCCGCTCGACAAATACAATGATAACACACCCGACACAGGCCAATACAAGAAGAAAGAATCGAACAAACATATAAAACGACCTAAATACAAAAGAATACTCAAAGAGGAGTCGCAAAGTCAAGGGAATGGCGGTTTTGGATGCGTTTCAATTAGAGACAAACGACTCTGTTTAATCAAATGACTAATAAAGTTCAATGAGTAACTCAAATAAACTGTAACGTCACGAGTCCCGCCAGATTGTTGGTTTGAACGCATTGAGGAAATATTGAATTTAAATGATCCCGATTGTTCAAACGAATAAATATTTTAAACTTAGCCTTATAACTATTTTTCTTGGAATATTATATTATTGTACGTCACCTTAGTGTGGAGTTACTACGCATTGCAAATTTATAATATGTCAGTCAAGTCCGTCCGGTTGAGTTACCTCGATACGGTCAGGTTCGAGGCATCGCTGTCCGCTGTGGGCTGGCCGCACTCCCAGCTCGTTCCACATATTTCTTTAAACGGCTTGTTATACGGCAACAGGGACGTACGCCGCCAACCTGCTTCTTTTTAATTACATTTCTTTCAGATTCAAATCGTGCACAGTAAATTTCCACTATACAAAAAAATTTCAATAACAATAATTTAAATGTTAAGCGGTTTGAGAGTGTGAATAAGGAATGTTATATTTGGGTTATTTAAATGAATACAAAAAATGTTAAGAAAATCGAGAAGTTTAGGATTTTCATTCGCACTTATAATCAATTGGTCGGTGGAGCTGTTAACATATGAGATGCGATGGTCATATTCGATCGAACGAGTGCGAGCGAGACGGAGGCGATTCGCATCGGACGGTCGAACCGGCCATGCGAGATGCTCAGCCGTATCATAAATATTAATCAGGCGCTGGTGTCAACAGCCAGCGCGTAACGTGATACCACTGCGATCCGCTGCTCGCCTGGTACTCGCCTGCCGGGAGCCAGACGACTCTATACGCAAGATAATTGCCACAGACAGACAAACCTGCAAGAAAATAATAAACACCGATTTTCTTATCTTATTTGTAATACGCAGTTCATAAATATATCATGCGTATACAACAATATTGTTAATAAATCTTTTTATATGTCTCTGGAGTTGCTCTTTCCCAGGAGGACTTTGAATTTGTGATAATAATGTTATCGAGTGCACATCCGTTTACGCATGCAGCCATGACCTGCCCTATAGCTCTTTGCGATTGGAAAACGCAGTTTATGTTAATTACTTTTAGTCAACAATATGGTTCAATAATAATTTTGTTGTACCATTACTGTGCTATGAAAGGCATTACTTTAATTACCTTTGCTTTACGTTTTGCTTATATGCACAGTTGAGGACTTTAATTTAATGTCCATTTCGGTGAATTGTCATTTGACAATTAGGTCGACAACTTGTCATAGCAACATACGTATTACGTGTAAAATTATAAGTCTTATGGTGACAGATCGTTGTACGACTTTCATCGTAATTGAGAAACGTATATATTCTGTACTATAATTTTTGTAAAGTTCTACATAAAATTTCATGGTCATTTTTTATTTTCTTTATTAAGTTTACAAATTGCTTACTTATCCATGGACCTTATTTTAATTACTTTTTTTTAAATATTAATACCAAATATGTATCCAAATTTTTAAATTAATATTTTTAATTATCGGAAGTTAAAAATCTTAAGGTTTTTTAACATAAGACCTCGTTTATTTAAAAAAAAAACATCGCTACAAAACAACCGATCAATTTAAACGAAAATACGTTTCCAAAATTAAAATTTATTATCCAAAAATGGAGTTTACCGTTACCCAAATTAACTTTTTATTTATTAATTCAAAATTATTATTTATTAATTCAAAATCATATTTTTAAATCCAATGTCATACTGGAAAGAGAGAAAGGTGAAGAACTTATTCGTACTAGTGTTCATTGCCGAAACACCTTTTTAAAAATATACGTTTCTTTAGATTAGTTAAGCTGTTGCTTAAATAGAAATCGAGCCCTACACTCCCTTTTTTATATTCAAGAAAAACTATATAAAAAGTGTATATTTTAAATAAAACATTAAAAATCTAGTAAATAATTAAAGAATTAATATTGACCGTTGGTTTTTCGGACTACAATCTCCGTTTAAAACATATAGCTATCTCTGTTTTGTCAAATATAACAACAAGGATAACGATGTTTTATACAGATTTTGGTCTCGGAATCGCACGATGAATGCTTAACACCAATCGAATGGTTGTTCAATTCGATATCTGTAAGTCGACAAACTTAGCTGACCCGGTGGGTATAAGTGACACTTAATTAAAATAATTCATTAGCGCCTCTTTTCAACGTTAATAAAATGTCACATGATCTATGTGTTTTTATGCTTTCGTCTATTTTATTTATCTTTTGCAGAATAAACCACGATAGCTGCATTTCTCTCACCGGGCCAGATTTGTTTATCCGTACTGTATACTTAAAACGTTCTTGACAATCTCAACTGACAGATAAAAATATTCAAATGTAACTTTGTCATCTAATGATTTGATTGGTGAAAATCCAAATTTATTTTTTATTATTCGGGAATATCTTTTATGTTCTTCTCTTTCAAAAAATGCTGGAGCCAACTTCGAATTTTACATCGGGGCCCAAAAATTAATGCAAGCGCGCCTTTCTCTTTTGTAGTATCGATTATTTTAATCCTAATTAAAATTCTTTCCCATAATGCATGTCACGAAAAATGCAAGCAATCTTGTTAACAACCTTCTTGAATATTGATTTAATTACAGTGATAAATAAAAAATATAATTTTGATCAATTAGAGAAATACGGTTACAGACAGATGAAAAAGTGGGCTAGTTCTTGAGACTTGTAAACAGTAAACACATATGTGGAGAGTCGAGTATATTATGATAATAGCAACACTGGTTAAGATGTAGTCTCGTCCCGCTAGGTTGGCCATACTGGTATATATCAGGATTGTAACATTCCGGCGCTAAAACTTTTTCAAATTAAAAAAAAAACATATTCAAATGCAATGCAAATAAACGGATACGAACACATTTTGAACGGTTTCATTTTCATTCATATTGTATTTTTTATATTTTTTTGCATGTGAAAATAAATGAATACCATAGATAAAAAAAATAATAATATATGTCAAGTTGTCATTTATTAAATGTCTTATCTAAAGACTATATAAGCATTACATATTTATTAATTTAAGATAAATTGGTAAAATGTACAGTCCAATCAGGTTTAGGTATCTATACTTTAATAATGATGGAATAACGCGTAGATGTATGAAGTTAGTAGAGAGAGTGGTATGTCAGGACCGCGCCAAATGTAGGTCCGTGGTCTCAGCCTACCCCTCTGGGTTACGGGTGTGAGCCGTGTTGTATTTTAATAAAGATCTTTGTTGAATATGGAGAACCTACATGGGCCGCTTTTTCCCGCCGATGCGTGTGAGCACATCTGCGAAGTTTTTGCTTGCATGTGTTTGTGTACAGACACTTTTTTGTGCTAATGTATGCGCGTCGGCCGATCGTAGCTTCGAAGATGCGTTCAAACGTTTTTCTTTTTTTTCTTTCGGCATTAACGTTCGGTTTTATCGTCGGCCGCCGTGTTACTAAGTAAATATTTTTTATCTACAATTTTAATTACAAAATGCATTTTAAAAAGGGTTTTCAGTTATTTTACCATGAATATGGTTCTTTTCATTTTTTTGTGACTATCATAATTATTATTAAAATAAATTTGAAAAAAATAATTTTAGAATTAAAATTAATTATACAACCTTGTCTTCAGTTAGACGTCAATGAATTATACTTGAATGCTTACCAAGTATGGAAACGGCTTCTCAATTAATGAATTTTTAATTTATTTTACTCTATGACATCAATTATGATGCACGGTTCTAATTTACATATAATTGTGTAGTTCTATTTAAATAAAACAATAAATGCAAACAAAACAGCAAGATCAAGAATGTAGTATTTAATTCAGATAAGAAAATTACGAGTCAGATTTGACATAGGATTTTCAACCTTATTGCATTGAAAGAAAGACTGAAAAATGTTATCTTTGACAATGACTTACTACTTATCACTTTCAAAACAATTGTTACTAGTATCACGAGATATTACGTAATATATAGGTACATACAATCTTTTAGGCTTCACGTGGAATACTAAAGCGTTCATTTTTTTGCGCAGATTAGATTTCGTGTTTATCTTTTTAAGTAGTATTTATATGAGTTGAATAAATAAATATAAAGCTAGTGTAGACGGGAAATAAGATGGATTAACATAGTCCGGCTCGTTAACATTTCGATCACGATTATTTGCTTCCCTTGTTTAACCGCAAACAAGACAATCATGGTCAATACTTACGTTACTACTATTTATTTTTAATACCATTGTATATGCCTCTTTATTTTCTTATAATAAACAAACTTATATCTGTGACATTTAAGACGTAAATAAACTCTTTCCATATTATTCTACAGTAGTCAATAAAAAAAATGTTTCTTCCTGGTTACATATTGCTAAATCTAATAGAACATTTGGGAAAT